AACCACCACCATGACCTCCAACACCACCCCCGACGACCTCATTACCTCAGTCACCAAACTCTCCCTCAAAACCTCCTCCCTCGACAAACTCCAAAAACCCGCCCCCTCCAAGAAAAAGGCCGCCGCCGCCGCCCCCGTCGCCGACAGCTGGGAGGACGAAGAAGACAACGATGATGCCTCAGAATCAGAAGAAACGCCACTATACAGCACCCAAACCGGCACCAACGCGCCCCCACCAACCCCCATGTCGCCCATAGCCAAGAAGCAGCCCTTTTCGCCATCAGCGCTCAACGCCCCCGGCACGTTCGGTTTCACATCTTTTGACGGACCAGGCGCCGACTCAAGTCCTCGATCAGCAGGCGCCGCACCAGACAGACGCCCAGAAAAGACCGATGCCGTGGCGCGACGCATGATTGCTGCTGGGTTGGGGCTTCGGGCGCCGAGGGCGACCGAGGAGCAAAAGGCGTATGATCGGGCGGTCAAGGAGCAGGAGAAGAAGAGGAGGGAGGAGGAGAGGGAGAGGCAGAGGAAGAAGGAAGAGGAGGCGCAGAAGGCCAAGGCGGCTATTTGGGATGATTAATTGCTGGTGTGTCGGTGTCCTCGGCGGGTTTTACAAGTCCTGTTTCCCTCAGGCGTGGTTATCTTGGATAATGATTGACTTTCCGAGGAAGCGGAGGTTTGCACGGCGGTCGACATAGCGTGGTGGATTTCTCACATAAAGCCATGGGAGTATTTGGGGCACATAGCTGTAACTGTTAGCGCAACATATATACCAAGAATCTCTCACCTTGATTTGACTGACTGACCTCATCCCTTCTCCAGCAATGCGCCAGATCAGATCATTACACTCGAGCACTCTCCCAAGACCAATACTTTACTCAGCCTTCTTTTCCCTCGTTTTTTTCTCCTTGAGGGCCTTAACCTCCCTCCCCTTCCACGTCAACATCACCTCCTCCACCTGCTCCCCATCCTCAGCAACCCTATATTTACTCCCCACCCCCAACCCTTCCAACCCCCCCTCCTCCACCGCCCTCTGATTCCACAGCATCTGGCTCACCACCCCCTCCCTAGAACAAACAATGTACACCATCGGCCATTTACTCCCTCCCAATCGCATCCCTGACACCTTTTGTTGCAGTCTTTTCTGCGACTAGTGCTCCGATAACGCCCTTTGAGCGCCACCAGGGAGGGCTCCGATGAAGGCGCCTTCCAGCTCGCAGATGTATACCGGTTTGGCTGTTTTGGTGACTTTGCATTGGGCGAGGACTCTGAGGGGTGGGTCTGGGGAGTTTGGGATGGGGGACCAGAAGCAGAGGAGGTCAATTCCGTGGTCGGAGCGGCCGCCGACGCGGTGGAGGGTGAAGGCTAGGCGGGTGAGCGGAGAGGATGGCGGTGTACTCGTAGTGGGTGCCTATGTAGACGGTGGAGGTTGGGTCGAGGGAGGTGTGGGAGGCGTAGGTGAGGAAGGTGGGGAGGGAGGAGTGGTTGGTGGTTGGGGCGACGGGGAGGGGGAAGGTGTAGGGGGAGGGGAGGTTTGGTTCTGGGGGTTGTTGTTCTGAATCTTCCTTTGGTTGCTCTGGTTGAGAAGGGGAGGGTTCTTCTGCGGGTGGCTGTGCAGTTCTGAGTTCGAGGGAGGGGGTTGTTGTTGTTGAGAGAGGGGCGCTGGCGCAGAAGGCTCGTTGAGGGGCGGTGGTGAGGAGGGATAGGGAGGATGGCCGGGAGAGAAGTAGACGGCGCATTATCGCTTGTATAGCACCAATTGGTGTCAATTCTGTCGCATCGAAGACAACCCCACGTCAAAAACAATTCCGGCCGCAAGGGTGCACACGGCAGGGGCCGTTGAAATTTAAGACGCGGTCCGGCACGCGATCGACCGGCAAATAACGTGGATCCACTTTTCTACCATTGAGCTCTTATCTTATCAACACTCGACCAACCACAACGCGAGCGCATCAGGTAGCTCTCTCTCTCTCTCTCTCTCTCTCTCTCCAACCATTTACCCAACAGCAAACACCAAATCCAACCCGCAAACCACACCCGCCCTCCGATTTGCGCTCATCAATCTACTCTCAAAAATGGGCGACAAACTGACTCAACTCCAAGAGTCCATGGATCAAGTCTGTCCTCCGCCTCCCTCCCTCCCCCCCTCCCAACCATCACTAACCTCCCCCTCCCACAGCTCCTCACCCAATTCATAGCAGCCCTCTACTACAACGAACGCCACCACGACCTCCAAAAATTCTCCCCCAACGACAAAATCCCCGAACTCAAACAAGACCAGCCCCCCGAGGTTGATACCCTCGACCCTGAACAATTCAAGGCTGGGCAGCTCGAGCTCGCTAGAGATCTCATCACGAAGGAGCAGCAGATCGAGTATTTGATCTCGACGTTGCCGGGTTTAGATAATAGTGAAAGAGACCAGTTGCAGATGATACGGGAGTTGGAGGAGGAGCTGGGGGCGGCGGAGCAGCAGAGGCAGGAGGCGTTGAGGGAGCGGGATGAGGTTTTGAAGAGGTTGGATGGGTTGGTTAGGCTGATTAGGAGGCACTGATGACAAGGGGGAGGGTTTGCATAGCGTTGTTTGACATATCAAGCGTCTGGGTTCTGGGACAGCAATGGATGAAAAAGGCATGGGGTATGGCGTTTGGCATTGATTATCGGCTGGTTATCAGAGGCTTAGGATTCGATAATCAGGGAAAGAAATTAAGCATGGAATCCACATGAGTATCTATTTATTCTCCTTCTGTTCTATGTCTGGTAACGTTTGAATACGCATGAATGGAATCGACTATTCCGAGGACGTTTCCGGCTTCTTGAAGACCTCTGGGAAGCAAGTGCGCAGCTCATCCAAGTGGCTTATTTGGAACTTGCACGCTTGTGTCCTGGGGGACTTGACACCCTCTTCGACAAGGTGGGCGACGTTCCAGCCTATTTCTTGGGCCTTTTTGCAGTTTTGGTACGAGTCATCTTTGATCCAAGTCAGCAATCAACACAACACAAGATTTTCATGGCACAGTTAAGTAGAACTCACCAACAAAATAACAATCCTCCCTCCTCTCCACCCCCGCCTCCCTCATCGCCTTCTCATACGCCTCCTCATGAGGCTTGCACATCAGCCTCGGCGCCGCATAATCACAATACGTCACCCCTTCGAAGAAGTCCTCTATCTCTAGCAGTTTCACCACCCTCTTGGCGTGGTTGACGTAGGCGTTTGTGAACAGCCAGAGCCTGACTTTGGAGGTGTCAATGTCGCGGAGGAGCTTCTTGAGGTCCTCGCGGGGCTTGATGATGTCGTCTAGGGGGAGGGCGTCGTCGACTTTGGCGTTGTACTCGAGGGGGTCAATTTGGTGGTGACGGACGAGGCCTTCGATGGCGAGGCCGTAGTTTTGGTAGTATTCCTTGTGGAGCCGGACGGCGTCTTCGTAGGGGAGGGAGAGGTGGGTGGCGAAGTACTTGTCAATCAGCTCGGCCATGAGGTCGTGGACGCGGGCGCCTGAGTTCAGGGTTAGTGAGCGAGTTGGGTTGAGGGGGTGAGAGGGGAGGGGGTACTCTTGGGGTAGAGGCAGTTGTCGATGTCACTGAGTGTTGTTAGACTATGTTCATTCATTCATGAGATAATGATTGGGTGTTTTGTCACTTACAAAAAAAAGACTTGTTTGGGTGAGGGACTGGTCCCGTTGACGGCTTGGGCTTCTGATTCCATTGTGATGATGCTGTTGAGTATGCTGGGTCTCAAATGATCTAAGAATGGCTCAATAGGAGATATCTCTTCAGAATTGATCTAGTATTTGGGGTTGTAGATGTGGATGTCAATATGACTGTTGTGATGAAAGAAGTAAATTGTTGTAAGTGAGTTGGAGACAGAGAATTGTTAAGTTGTATCTCCCTGTTGGAGGTTTAATCGGCGTGGAGAGCAGTCAAGATCTCACAGTGTAATTGAGAGAAAGCAGGTATCACAATGAATCTCATCTCAGTGGGAAATAATGAAGCTATTTGTGTTCCTCAGAGAACTCTCTAATACCTTCCTATTTCCCTGCTTTCAAGTTGACTCAGGCTGTATGCACCTCTCTCGCATCTTCGATGGCGGAGCAAAAGAAGAGGAACGCTGCGTCTCATTGGCAAACAAGCTTTCACGGTCCCGCCGATGTGGTCAGTGCGCTTCCCGACCTTGGCGGTTCCTCGGGGGGGTGGCAGGGCCTTGGCTTCTGCTGCGGCTGGGAAATTGTTCGAGTTTCCCAAACCACACACAACACACCAAACTTGACTCTGCCGGAGACACTGATTTTCTCAGTCACTGTTGGCATATTTGATACGCGAAGAAAAGGCAGAGACGCTTCTTCATTCTCATTTGCGTCTCCGGTACGGATATCCGATCATCTATTTACCCCGAGCATTTTCGATTTTTCGCGTCGTTTGGCATTTGATGGGACGCTCTTAACGTGCCGAGTTACGGACGTTTGCAACACAGCCATCATCATGGCGCAAGGTTCTGTGGGTGCAGCCATGTCGGCGGAAAGAGGAGGGGTACAGGAGGGAGTCGCAAGCAAGAAGACGTTATTGATAGCGTCGCTGTCTCCCGACGCGTTGCACGAGGTGCAGCAGTACGAGAAGCTGCTCAAGTTTCGCGACGAGGTTCTCAGCGGTGCTCACCCGCGCATCAAACCACCACAGCTTGGGAAAGTCGCCCAAGCCGCGAGCTCAAAGTCGACAGCTCCTGCTTCTTCTTCTACCACTTCTGCCACCAACTCATCATCCAATGCTGCGGTAAATGGAAGTCGCCCACTAATTAACAATCTGCCTTCATTCCGGGCGAACCAGCAAGTTCCGTCAGTATACATGGCCACTAACCTTCCCGGCTTGGGCATGCTGTCGCAGAAGAAGCCTTCGGGCTCTGGCAAGCCCGAGATCGATCCGGTTCTGCTGGAGAAGTCTGACGACTTGGTCAAGGCTGAGATCCAGCTTCGGCGGCAGAGAATTGAGCGTGCTCTCAAAGATGAAGTTGAGCAGCGTCGCGTCACAAGCAAGCCACACGAGCAGATGGCTGATCTCGATGTCAACGACATCTTGGCCAAGGCCATGACATTATCCGAGGATGCGCCTCCTCAGCCCACTGATGATGCAGCTGCTAACACATCAGCATCGAGCGACTCTTTCGATAACAATACTTTCTACTCTAGTCAACATGGTACACCCGATTCAGTCATGGCAGCCCGAATCCCCAACGAGTCCGAAGACGAGGAAATGCGAGAAGAATCGCCCTACGAGCCCGAGTTCGATCCAGAGCCCGACCTCCCGACGGCCATTGCCCACGCACAATCCCTTCTCGACACGTCTCAGCCCATGTCAATACCGGGCGTTTCTATATCCCAACATCAGCCACAGCCGGCTCGGACCAACCCAAAACTTCCTGTCCCAGCTCCTTCCTTTTCAATTCCTGGAATAGGCGCGGCGAACACATATGGTAGCGGCCTGGCCGGTCGTCCTGGACCGTCCGGCAGTGCTGGCAGTGGCCCAGGGAACCAGCATCTACTCAGTCAAACTCGTGGGAACCAGAATCAGACATCCCCAGTTGTGCGAGGACACGATCTCTCCCCTCTTGCTCCCCAACCAGAGCGTGTCTCTCCCCTGGCTTCTCTGGCCATCACAAGACAACCTCACTTGGTTGATTCTGACTCCAGTGGACGCAGGGCGACTCCTGCCCAGGTCGCAGCCCTTAGAAAGCAAACATCTAACGCGTCGAGCCCAGAGAGCTCCCCACAGGCTGGTAAGGCGGCCGATAAGAAGAAGAACAAAAAGAAGAACAAGAGAAAGGCGGACAGGTTGGCTGTTGAGACTGCTGTGTCGCCAGTCATTAAGCCTGAACCACGATCACCATCCCCTCTGACGGCCGCTCCTTATGCTCGGCCCAGCAAGCGCCAGAGGCAAGGGCGCCAGCAAGCTGTTGACTCTCCCTACGAAGAGCACAGGTATCAAGAACCAATCCGTGTAGAGACTGGTTACCAAGAGTGCTACCAGCCTAACGGCAGTTTCAGGCAGGAACGGGTCGTGGCCTACGGACGAGCAGATGGGGCATATCGTCCTCGCTATGACGATGAGCCCATTTTGGTCACATCACCAAGGTACGAGAGGGTCGAAAGGGTCTACTATGATGAGCCAAGACAAGCGGTGAGCGCCCGTCCCATCCGTCCGGATTCCCCAGGCGCCCAAGGTGCTCAATATGCTTCACGGGAGGTTCGTACTGCTCGTCCTGTGGCATATGAGGAAGGCGGTGCCGTTTATCGCGACGTCAGAGCTGCCTCCAGGATGAGTATGCGCCCAGTCGCGTACGGCGACCGTTCACAATCGCCCATCATGTATGAGCGGCCGTCTGCAGCTATGCCTCCGCCCAGGGCACCCGTGAGACGCATTCTTGTTGATGCCCATGGCCGAGAGTATCTCGAGCCCATTCGTTCGACTACAGTCGTGCGCGAGGAAGTGATCTCGGACCCAAGAGGCGAGAGGCTCTATCCTGCGAGGGAGATGTCACGGAGACCAGAGGTGATGGATGACGAGGTCATCTATCAGGGTGCGCAGCCTGTGTATGGAGCGCCGAGACGGGCGGTGACCCAGCCAGAGTACGGTGCTTACCGCGAGAGTGCCAACCCCATGGCTCCTCCACCTATGAACGAGTATGTGCCTTCGCGTGCGGAGCCTCCCCGGGAATACATGGCCAGACCGGCTAGTGTCAGGCCCGGGATGGAGACAGTTCGCTATGAACCCAGCACCAGCTATGAGAGGGTTCCTTTTGAGGATCGGGGGAGGGATTACTACGGTGCTGGAGCTGCTGGGACGGTGAGGTCGGCCAGCGTCCGGCCTGGCGCGGAGAGCATCCGATATGAGGTTCCGGTTGCTTACGAGAGGAGGGTCGGAGGTCAAGTGGAGGAGTATGTGCCCCTGAGGTCGGCTAGTGTTAGGCCGGGTCAGGAGCCGGCGCGGTATGACCCGTATGGAGGTGGTGGTCAGAGGGTCGAGTACGCTGCTCCGCCGTCGGTTCCTGCCTATGGGATGCAGCCGCCGCCCCCGAGGTCTTATAGTGTTTTGCCTGCCGAGAGGGTGGGGGAGAGGGGCTATAGCATTCAGCCTCCTCCGCCTCCGCCTTCGCAGCAGGGGGGTCAGGCTCAGGGCCAAGGTCCGCCGAGTGGCGGGGGCTATTATGCTAGGCCGCCGCCGGCGGGGAGGGAGGATGATGAGGTTGTGTACCTGGATCGTCCGCCGCAGAGGGAGGTATATAGGGATATGCGTTAGGGACGTTGTTCTAGTAGCGGTTCAGATGGTGGGGTAGAGGAAAGGGAGGAATTGGAGATGGAGATGGACGGTGAGATGGAGGAGGTGGTGGAGCGTGAGGTTAAGGCAGGAGGCGAAAAGAAAAAGGAAATAAAGGCGGCAGATTTTGATGAGTGGGCACTGAGAAACATCAAGGCTAAGCTAGAGGCTGCAGGAGGCTGCAAGCAAGAAGCAAACGATTCTCGAAGCGGCGGCGAGACGGAAGATGAACACGGCGAAAAAAGAGCTATGGACTCTTGACCCGGCGGCAGAGCGGAAGAATAGGCAAGAGTGGAGAGCGGCCAAACAGAGAGAGTTGGAGGTAACTTGGAGACAAGCCAAGTTGAACGAGCTCGACGAGCAGAAATTAGGAGAGATCAAGGCGCAGCTGGAGGCTGGGGAGCTGGATGAGCCGAGCGCCAGGGGCAAGGAAACATGGGTCCATAAGCAGGCGTTCAGGCGTCAGGAGATGGAGGCGAGGCGGGCCAAGGAAAGAAAGCTGAGAGGGGAGGTGAGGGAGAGGGAGGTGGCATCTATGAAGGAGGAGGCGAGGCTGAAAGGGGAGACGTTTGATGCTCTATCGGCTGAGCAGAGGGGCAAGGTGAGGCTGGCAGAGATTGAAGCGTTTCGGGAGGCTGGGTTTGTGAGGAAGAAGGGCGCTCGTAATTTGGTGAAGGAAGTTCACAGGGTTACTGCGAAGAGGAAGGAGAAGGAGAAGGCTGGGGGAGTGAAGAGGGGGGGGGAAGTGAGTTAGTTGCATTGGGACGGGGGTTACCTGAGTTTTGTGATTATGGATATTGTAGGGGGATTACCTATTCTGACCAGCGTGTAGACAGTTTGTGTAATTGTGTATTATTTTTTTTTTACATGTTTTGGGGGTGTGGAAAAAGGCATCAAGGTACTCCATTTGCTGGGAGAAGAGCGAGCAGGCAGGCATTCACATGGCGTTTTTTTATGGTCATAGCTGGGCGTCAGCAAGCGGGAACGGGGTTTAACCATTTTTGCATTCATTGAGTAGCTGGGATGTTTTGAGTTTTGGAGCAATAGAAAAATGGCATTGGTTTATTGTTTATAAGGTTTTGAGCATCTGCTTGGTCTTGCGTGATATTTGCAGAATAATTCTCATGATTACTTAGTGTCGTCGGGTATATGTACATGTCTTGATGTGTGTTTTTGGCTTGCAGACATGCAGACGCCAAAAAGGGGCAAAGACGGGCAGATGGTGCAGTTGTTGAAACCGGTGGTTTACTTCGTGATATCACCTGACCTGACCTGACCTGACCTGACCTGACTGGACTCGGGGAGTTGGTATTACAAATCGAATGTGGAGTTGAGCACTTGGAATGGCACAGCACATTGGGATATCTGGAGTTCTGGATTTGTGATGAGGTTCAACAGGAGGGAGCCTATTCGGAGCCCCCTGTTTGTCTTACCAGTGCTGGCCCCCTCCCCCCTCCCCCCCCAACCTCCCCTCAATGAGGTTTTGACTGCAAACCTACTTTTTATATGATAAAATTTTACTACGGTAAAATAGTCCAACCTATACGCACTCCCTACGCCTTACTACCCCGCCGCCGTTAGTTTAGAAGCCATCACCCAATATAAGAAATATCACAGAAAATGATATTAAATTGTAAGTAAGCAGGTATTTACCACTCCCTGGCACTACGCCGAGCTTTTTCCAGGCAGTTAGAAGGCTTCGAAACCCTCCTACCGCTGTGCCATAAATTCATGGTAGATTTGGTAGGTTATGGGAGAGTGTGGGTGAGGGTGGTGGTTGTTGTAGAGTGTGGATGGCAAAAGGCGGCTTCAATTGACATGGTCACCTAGGGTTAGGTATATGTATAAGAGCAAGTGTGGAGGGGGGCACTGGTAAGACAAAGGGTGGGGGGGGGGGTTGTTCCGAATAGGCTCCAGTTCAACTTCCGCCGATCGTTTGGAGTTGCTTTACGGTGATAGTGCTCGGAATGGGCAGGTTAATACATAGCCATTTGATTGATGGGCTCACTTTGAGACATGAGGCAAGATGTTTGCATGTTTTGGTAGGTAATGAATCGGGGTCAGTGGAATGAGAAGGCTCGGAGTCTTTGGGCCGCTGGAAGGAGCTTAAATCCAGACCGTTTCTTTTCTGCAAAGGAACTTATGACATTTGATAAACTGACCGCCTCAAGAATTGGAAAAAAAAACAAAAAAAACGGTGCTGACTGCCTGCATCGGGGGTTTGGTTGGATGGGGGTTGGATGTATCAATATGTAGGTAGATGGCATATGCCGGCTGTATGTAAGGACCATATGGTCTGGTCCAACAGGATAAAGGAGGTGTGGTGAGTGAGTACCGAGTCCTGAGTGGGGGCCTAAAGGACCTCCTTTAACATCATCAAGGCAGTGTTTACGGGGGATAACGGGGTCCGGGGGTTGTGAGGGGCCGAGGGGTCCGGATGCCAACTTTCTGGACGACGGAGGTTCCCGCTTCAAAGCTGATGATCTACAGTGCTACAAAGTATGCTGCAATGATTCGGACGATTGATGAGGGAAGCAAAGAGAGCAGCAGAGCAAGATATGTGTTGTTCTTTTGGCGGCGGCGGGCAGGAAAACGTTCTGTGCCGCAGTGAGTGTGTGTTGTTGTAATGCTTGCAAGAAAGAAGTTGGGGGAGCACAACGTCACCGGGCCTGGCAAGTGGCTCCACCTGTCGTGAGCTTTCACGAGGTAGGTTCAGGTGGTGCTGCACAGCTGGGCAGGCAGGCGCCGGGCCAGGCTGTAGGTATGTATGCTGCGTGGAGAACACCTGTTGCCAGTCCGGGCATGACGCGTTCATGTTTTGATGGTAGTGTAGAGAAAATGATTGTTGGGATGGAGAGGTCTTATAGACGACGGCCTAGGGCGGCGGTGGGGGGTTCCAGGTGACTAGTACTTTGGACATGATTCAGGGAACAGTGTGAGGACAATAAAAGTCTCCGGGCGAGCTGGCAGTTTGGTTAAAGGAGAGATACCAAGGTAGCAGTAGACCCGGCTGCAAAGGTAAAAAAGGAATATTGCAGGCATAGGTGGAGGGCGAGGTGAGTATCTGAGAGGGGCATGAGCATGTTTATTATGGGAATTTGGGATTTGCCATTCATTCATTGTTTGTGGCCAGCAGAGGAGATGAAACTGGACTGTGAGACATGGGGCACGAGCAGATTACCTTATCCTTTTTTCCATTTCTTTGTCAAGCCCGGATCAGAACTGGGCTAGCTGGATGGCTGGATGGCTGGATGGCTGGCTTGGAATGGATGTCTCTTGCGGAGAAGAGAGACAGGCTTCCCCTCAGGCGGCAAATTCCACAACAGGGCCGGCCCGGGTAGAGGTAATGGAGCTGAAGCTGAAGCTGAAGATATCGTACACTACTGTACATAGACTAGTTGGTGGAGAGAGTGTGAAGAGGCCGCGGAACGCAGGAAGTTGCCGGTTCTCGAACTGGCCTGGCCAGTCAAGGGTCGGGAACGAGGGGGCCAAGAGTGAAAGCCACCGGTCACTGCAACGTTAGGGGGAGGGCGCACGGGCCAAGGCAGCGGGCTCCCAAGGTGCAGAGCGGGCCTGTGGGGACAGTCAGTCCAACAGCTTCCATCCATCTGCCAATCCCTCGACCGACACGACAAGTCTTGTCTCTGGGCGGGCGCCCCCCCCCAGAAGCTCAAAACATCGACAACTCTTTGGCAGGAAGGACAGGAGCACACGACATCTTCTGCCCATCCCCCCTTTCTCTTTTGTTCCTTTTTCAACAGCGGCCCCATTTGAAGATACCCAAGATACCCTTTTTTCGCCGCATTTCCATTTCCACTCCTTTTAGCCCCAATTGCCCACGACAAGCACCAGACGCCGCCTCCGCCGCTCCCGTCGACCACGACAAGCCTGCTGCTGTGTCTTCTGCCTCCCTCGACTCCCCCCTTCTCCTTCAACACCACAACATCACGCAGCCCTGGCATCCGCCCTGTATTTCCACGCTCCGAGAGCAGCGAGCACATTTGAGTCATCATGAATAAAATAACAGCCATGCGTCACTGGCCAACCAGCAACTTCATCTCTCGAAACAACATGGCTGGCATGCCGGCCATCAACACTCGTCGAGATGTCACAACACAGGGCCCACCCCCGATACCCACACCCCAGCTCCCCATCGGCGAGCCTACCATCCACTATGCCTTCAACGTCCCCTTTGCCTCCGATCTCGCCGGCCCCGACACCGAGGACATTCTCCACGCCACCACCGATGCCGTCCTCCGCTGGACTCATCCCGTCGAGGCCCCCGACGATGTCCCCGTCCACGCTCTCCACGTCCATGTTATGAACCTTGAGGGCCTCCGTCAGCTATGCCACAGCATCACGACAAACCCCCTGCCCATCGAGGCACACGTTCTTTCGGGCACTCCCAAGAATGCCCGCGGTCTCGTCACCACGGTGTGCTTGTCCGGTCCCGCCGACCTGGTCTATCAAACACGCGAGGCGATCCTGAACAAGACCCCCATCTCACTAGTGCGTCACATCTTTTTGTGCAACTGTGCTTTTTCTGTGTCTTGTGCCTGCTAACTGTGTGTCTTAGCGTTGCACAACTGTTGATGTGGACGGCAATCTGGTTGCCAATCTTGCCGAAGGCGTTCTGAAGAAGTCGGTAACAGACTTTCTTGACGAAACCTCGAGGTTTTGTGGCGTCGACATCTTCCTCCTCGGGCCCAAGCTTGCCCCGGTGGTTGATGGCTTGAACGGCGATGTGGAGCTCCGGAGAGACCAGCGCTGGCGGGTGGCCATTTATGGCGACAACATGTCTGCGGAACATGCCAAAACCCGCGTTCTTATTCATATTGATCAACTCGTACGTTGTTGCCAGATCCTTGTGGTGGGACTTGAACTAACATGAGATCCTATTCAGCTGGGGCGGGTTGCTGACTCTATCAATGTCGACTATAGCGTCCAGCAGATCTTGATCGGACGCAACCGCAAGAACATCAAGCTGATCGAGTCATCAACCAACACGGCCATCTACTTCCCTCCGCCGTTCCTGAGCTGCTATTCGTACTGCCCACCCGGCGCAACACGTCGTGGAGAGTCTGATGTCTTCATCACTGGCGAGAACACGCAAGCTATCGAGCAGGCAAAGTACAAGATCCACGAGTACCTCACGCGTGTCAGGCTCTACGTGAAGGATGTTCAGATTACGCCTGCCAAGCTCGACAGTGTTCTGCTCACTCGTATGGACAAGGTGAGGAAGATTGCCGAGAACAACAATACGCATATTCTGCCACCCAGTCTTGGGTCCATGAAGAACGTGGCTCGCTTCCAAGCCCTGGAGAACTTGCCCCTCGAGCGTTCCGTCCGCGAGTTGATGGCCTTGGTTGGACAGTTCTACACGGCTACCTGGTGGATCTCTCATCCCGACAACCGCCAGCCCATGCCGACTCCCAACGATATTCGGACCATGCTCAGCGATATTTGTGCCAACTCGGAAGCCGATGTGAAGTTTGACAACCGATGCTTCACCATTTCAGGCTCGGATGAGGCTGTCAAGACCGCTTTGGCCGTCATCAACGATATCAAATGGGTCAATCAATCTCCCCAGTCCCAGATTCGAGTCAAGATCGAGCTCGCCAACGAACATAAGGAATTTGTGAGCGGAAAGAAGAATGGCAAGATCAACAAGATCATGGGGCAGAGCAACGTGCAGATCATCTTCGACACGTTTGGCGAGTACAACTTCAACATCGAGGTGGTCACACATTCGTACGAGGCTGTCAAGCACGGATTAACACTGGTGGAGCAAGAGATGCCGGCATCGATTTCGTTCCATGTCCCGGATCAGTACCACAAACGCATCATTGGCATTGGTGGGCAGCATATCCAACGCATCATGAAGAAGCACTCGGTCTTTGTCAAGTTCTCCAACGCAATGGATAGAGGTAGGATCAACTGCTGGTGGATTCGGTCAGCATTTAACTGACACCTCTCAGGCGGTCTCACCCGAGAAGATGACGACTCTAGGGTCGACAATGTGATCTGCCGCACCCCGGCACGCAACGCTCAGAATCTTGAACTCGTGAAGAGCGAGATTCTTGAGATGGTTTCCAGGGCTGTGAGAAGTCCCTCCCACCCGCGTGGATCCCAGGAGCGCTAACATGAATGCCCCGTGAAGGACTCTGAATTCATGAACCAGACTGTCAAGATCGACCGCCTCTACCATCGTGAGCTGCTGTCCAGGTTGCCCGAGATTGAAGAGATAGAGAAGATGTGGAACTGCAAGATTGTTTTCCCTAGTACGGAGCAGGCCACCGATGAGCTCACTGTGTCTGGACCTCAGTGGTTGGTGCCCAAGTGCATTGATTCATTTTTGGTGAGTGTTTTCTTTTTCTGGTTGGTGATATCCTTGGCGTGACTAACGTTGTCCTCAGGGCATGGTTCCCGACAAGCACGAAGTCGTGATGGAGCGGACTCCTACTCTGATCAGATTCCTCGAGTCCCCGGAGTTTGTTCAGAACATTGTCCCCAAGCTGAAGACCCAGTACGAAGTCGATGTCACGGTGCACGAGAATTCCGAGGAGCGTGCCGCCAACGGCAACCCCTCCGTCACTCTGCTTTGGCAGTTCACCCGTAACAATGCAGGTGGTGTCTCTGATGCCATGGACTTCCTCCAGGGCGAGTTTGCCACTGCCGGAGTGGAGCCCGTCTTCATCAGAGGTGCTCTCTCCCGCCCGAAGCCGGACACGTTCGAAGAGGCGCTGCCGTACTTTGACTCCAAGCTTCTTCAGCACGCACCAGCTCCGGTTGCCACCGACTCTCCCACCAAGCCTTCGTTCGGCGAGGAGACTGCTCGGGAACGGTCTAGTCTCTTGGAACGACTTCGCAGACCTGGTAGTGGCATGTCCTCGATCTCGTCCTTCTTGGACCGCAGAAAGAACAGCTCGCACTCGGCCACCAGCTTTTTCAAGGGCTCCAGCAACGTCTCCAAGTCGTCGCTCGTGTCGATCGAATCGACTCGCAGTTTCAATGCGGACCGCAACCCCTGGAACGACAGTGGTGTCAACCTCGCCGACGAGGACTCTGGCAGCCCTTGGCCCTCGGCAGTTCTTGTTGGAAACGGGATTGGCAACAATCTGGCCGTCCCTCACCACGGCGACATGACTCCTCGCCACGCCGCCCGTCGGTCTGACGACAGCGGGCGTCCCTCTACCTCTCATTCAACAAATTCAGGATACCCAGGCCCTCTTGTGCCATTTCGTTAACGTTTAACGTCTCGATGGTTGTGATTTCGCCAGATTTTAGACACGCATTGTTTGCTTTTTTCTCTGACGTGTTGCGGCGAGGAAAAGAAATACCCAATACCCCTTATGGCTGGATATACCCAATGGCGTAAAGTAAAATACCCTGGTAGTTGTGTTGCTTTTGCTTTTCGAATCTCAGTTGGACCGCGCGTTGGGAATCTTGGTTTTTGTTATTTCTCACTTCTGTCTTTGTTTTGTACTTTTTTTTTTTCTTTTTTCCTTTCGGGCCTCTTGTCATGGATTATGGGGGACAATATCTGTTCTGATCCCTACCATGGGAGTATGACGCGGGAGGAGATTGAGATGAAGACAAGAGCAAGGACAACAATTTTTTTGGTTTTTTGACGCATCATGATGTTTGTTTTTTCGGTTTTTTTTCTTTCTGATTTTCACATTTCATTTCGGAGGATGGAGGATGGCAAACGGTTTTGTTTTTTTTTCTTTTTCATTTCTCATTTTTGATGTCGTCGATGCGTCTTTTTCGAGTTTTCTTTTACTTGATACCTGAAAAAGCAGCTTTATACCCGGTGTGTGTGTGTGTGTGTGTGTGTGTGTGTGTGTGTGTTGGGTGATGGGCGATGGGTGGACTAGGTGGGATAGGATGGAAGGGACTAGGAGATGATTTGATACCACGTGGATTGAGGATGGGATGGGATGGAAGGGTTGGGGAGATAGAGTGTTGGGAGGAGGTTGCGGTGTAAGGGGAAAGGGGTGGGGAAGGAAGGCAAAATTTGAAGAGAAGAGATGAAGAAGAATAAGATGTGAATACCCCGTTTTGTTTTTGCGTTTGTTTTTGTGCTGTTCTTGGTGATTTGGTGCTGTTTTTTTTTTTTTTTTTTTTTTTTTTTTTTGGTTTTGGTGTGTTGCTGGGGATGTCGAGTGGTGGTTCTGTTTGAGTGGTTGGTGGGATGGATAAGGTTGAGATTGTGGGAAGGTAGGGTAGGAATTTAGGGTAGGTGGGTGGGCAGGAAAAGGGTGTGGTTGATGATGGGTTAGAGTGAAGGAGGTAGATTGTTGCTGGATGGTGAGGGGGGTTGTTTGTTGGACGGCTTTTTATTATTACTGAACCAGATTGGAAGATTACACTAGTGTTTTGTTGCATGTTTTGATTTGTTTGCAGATTTGTGTGTTTGCTGTTATTGAAGAGAAAAGATACCCTTGCCTGTTTCTTGCTCGCGGGATATATATGTATATAACTAGGTACAGTTTTTGAATTGGTGATTTGGTATTTTTGAAGTTGATGGAATGATGTGCTGTTGGCTTTGTTGATGTGCATGTGCATGTCACTTTGTAGTAGAGGGATTGTTGGTGAGGTGTTTATCGGCTGTGTTGTGTTACCCTGGGGGAAACCTGGCTGAGGTGTGGCTAAGGTAAAGTAATCTTAGGTGGTGGTGGACTTGATCGTCTGGGCAGGTAGTAGGTAAATTACTATGATACCGGTATTGGAATTTTCTCAGAGGTTTACGGCACGGGTGTTGTGATGACGACGGGCTGTTGTTGTGAGAGCTGCAAGGACGAGCCTGCGAATGACAGCTTGTTTCAAGTACGAGGGGGTTACATGTCGTTGTGAGAGACTCGCTTCAATTTCATCAGGCGAGCCCCTAGCAGTGTTGAATCTACCTACCCTACCCGCTCGTTTTCTTTTGCTATATGCTAGATATTCTAGGTGATTTACCTAGCTTTCTCTGGTAGGTAGGTGATCTCGTCGGTCGGTTGAGGATGAAGAGAAAGATAAACGAGACAATAACTTTGTTTAAAAGGTCAAGTAGCGTTGAGACAATTGACCAGCCTGTTTCAGGACTTCGAAGTCAAGGTAGATGGTGATTCTCATTTTGTTGGACTGTGTTGATAGTCGGAAGGGCGGAAGGGGAGGAGGTGAGCAAAGTGATATATCAAGATGAATGGGGAGAAGAGCGTGCGAGTTATGATTTAAATGGGAAGACTTGAGAGGACAAGATTGAAAGTGTCTTGTTGCTATGGTGATGGCTTTGCGTGTAGATGGGAGAGATGAGCGGTGATTCGGCTCAGTGACGCGTAGGTAGTTGAGGACTTGGTATGTGCAGGTGAGTACCGCCTCATTAGATTGGACGTACCAAAGTCGGAAGAAGATACTATCAAGAGTAAAAGATGTCTCTATCATCGTGGTGGCCAGAGATAGTATCAGCACCACAACAGCAAAACAGCGAGACACGCCCCCATTCATCCCCTCACCACCCGACAAGACCCAAATGTCATCCTTCAACGAAAGGATTGTACGAGGATTTCAGTCCCCCCCCCCCCCACCCCCCTCCTTATTATACCCCCCAGTTCCAGCCGATCCTCCAATCGTTGTCAGACTTTGGTGATAAAATCTTGTGCGAACCCCGGGATTCGAACCCAGGACCTGGCCCCTCCGTGTGGAAACAGGAATACAACGGAGGACGGGGACGATATCGGATGGTGGTTGCCTGGGCCAAGCAAGGCAAAGGGGGAAGGAGCAGGTGGGAGAGTAAGTCAGAGGGGCAAGTGGGGGAGGGAAGGAGCAGGAGAGGGAGAGGGAAGCAACGAAGTTGAGTGCTGGCATGGTTTTGCGTTCAATGGTGGAGTTTTACCATTTTGAGTCTGTTGTTGTTTGGTGGTGGTTTGGACAGATCCTGGAACGTAGGTTTGGTAGTCAACACGGTAGTATCTCATCTACATATTGAACGACAAAGCATCTCTATCGTGACTTTGTTGTCACTCAAATACCAGGTCTCTGACTATAATGAGTGATCAACAGTTTGAGCTTGATGACAAAGAGGAGCTTGTCTCTCCCTGTGAAGACCAGACTGGCTGAGTATAATTTACAGACACGGTCTCTGACAGCTGGCCAAAAATAAGTGCTTTGCAATACCAAAACATCTGAACACATCTTCATCACCACCTTCAAGGCCGGACGGGACATCAAAGTCGGGATAACTACAATCAGGTTCGGTGTACAGAAAGAGCTAAAAACTTAAGGGAGCGCCTACGACTCGAACCTAGAACCTCGTCTTTATGACAGTTGTCATTAATATATTCCCAATAATATGAGAACAGGACAAAGCGCATCCACTCGGCCGTTTCAGTACTAGCACTAGGGTTCGAACCCACGACCTAGACTTAGTCAAACGTCGTGAATGGGAGAGCCTGCGCTCGTGCTAACCGTTACACCACGCTGGAACCCCTTGATGGACCTATTGGTTGCTGTTGTGACCGGCGGTTGGCGCTGTACCGAACGGCAGGGCCTTTTGGGCTATCGCTCCCGGGCTTGAAGCCCCCCTCCAAGTCCACGTGCTCGTCTGTAGCCTTGATGATGATCTGTCAATACATCTTGACTGTGGTCGGGTACTTGGCCATAGACATAATCAAGATAGCCCGGTTGTTTCCACAACTGAAGCTATTCTGAATGGCTGACACTGATGCTTTCATGATATTTCGTGTGGTGGCCTGCTACCAACTTCTCTGCTGCGTCTCTCTCTCTCTCTCTCTCTCTCTCTCTCTCTCTCTCTCTCTCTCTCTCTCTCTCTCTCTCTCTCTCGCAACTCGAGGAAACAACCTGTCCCGTAAAAGCTGGTAATTCCATGTTTCCTTCCACTCTCCGACCACCACGACCTAGCCTCTTCAAACAAAGTCGTCACCAACTTGTATTTTCCCGACTTTTATCCACCACCACCTGACAACCAACATCACAAGAGAATCCACCAACACCCCAAAACACCACAATCATATTACACTTTATTCATTTATTTATCTCATTCCCAATCATCAACAAAAAAAAAACTCAAACAATCAATCCATTCCCGAAACACCATCCTCAAATCCAATCACCACTTCTATTTTCCACCACCAATCACTAAATCAACCACTTTCACCGTCCCCCTTCCTTTCCTCAATCTGCCCGTATTCCCCTTCATCACCCCAGCATTAACCAACACTCCCCCATTGTTACTCGCCGGCCCAGCCATGATCCACTTCCACAGCACACTCTGCAGCCCATACCTCAACATACTCAACGCATATTTCAGCCCCTGAAAATCGAACCATCTCTTCAGCATACTCATTTCCACCGCCGCCGTCCGCAAAACAAGACCCTCATACGCCGCCTGGCACTCATCAAAGAACACACTCTCCACCCCCGCCCCGTGATGAACATGCCCAAACACGTGAAGCTTCGGTTTCACCTTCCACAGCTCGGCCAGCAACGAAGGACAACCAAGCAGCAAGTCGCGGTGGCCTTTCTGTTCTCTCGTTAGCATCTCCCACATCTGTGACGACAAAAAAAGGGGTAAGCAAACCGGAGGACAATGCGTAACCAAAACATCCGTCTCAACCGGGATTCTCCCTTCCCAAGGCGGCCTCTCGTCATCATATTGAAACGCAAAATCATCACCCCCGCACCTCCTGACCCAACGCCTCCCAAAGATGTTCAATTTCCTCTTTCCCCCCACCTCCCTGTCCTCAAATTCTAGGGTTGTCAACTCATCCTGCAACCACACCACGCCTTTCCAATCCAGTTTCCTCTTTTCCTTTTGCCCTCTGGTCCGATGGATGGAGCTTGCCCTGTCTAGGAAACAATCGTGATTACCGCCGACAACAACCTTGTGTCTGAACGGAAGGGAAGAAAGCCAGCTTATTTGGTCTTGGAGGTCGTCGAATGTTCCGGTTGCAGAAAGGTCCCCTGCGTGGATGAGGAGGTCGCCTCTGGGGATGGAGGGGGGGCGGAGGGAGTGGGTGTCGGAGAGACAGACTACTCGTATGCGGGAGTGGTGAGGGGGTGGATGGAAGGGGTGGCCGCGGAGGAAGAGGAGGGTTTGGTAGAGGTTGGTGGTGAGGTGTAAGAGGGGGGAATAGAGGAGGGAGTCGAGGAATGTGGGGGGCTCCCATTGATTAGGACGGGTGAAGCCCAAAACGATAAGAAGGGCGTGAGTGAGGGAGAGGAGGGAGAAGAAGAGGGAGGTCAGGTGGGAGAAGAGGTTGGAGAGGAGGGTGAGGAGGTTGAGGTGGAGGGTTGACAGTAGGTTGGTCATCTTGGATACCATGTTGGTCCTAGAAGAGACAGACCTAAAGGGATGGGAGAGAGAGCGTGTGGTGAGGTGAGAAGGTGAAGAGTGAGGTTGATCGGTCGGCCCCGCTTTATGTCAACGGTTGGAGGTAAACGGTAGAAGTTACATCACAACTCTGACGCCTGGTCAATGTCAAAAATCATGGGAACGGAGCCATGATGTTTTGGGGATCAGCTTGTTTTCACAGTTCGCTCTTTATCCCCATCCAAAAATGATGACGATCTTGCCAGAAAGGGAGGTGTAAGTCAAGGGTATCACGTGACGGCCAAGGCCCAGAATGCCCCACCTCCAGCCGCCAATTGGCAAGCAAGCAATGGCAATTGGGTTTTAGCTAGCAGGGAAGGCTGCTGACGTCGAGAGAGAGAGAGAGAGCTATCCAATTCCCGCTGTTGCGGCTACAATTCCACCCCCTCCTCAAAGTCGCCAACACACAAACCACCCGCAACAATGCGCGCGACTTTCCGCCTCCTCGCGTCCGTCCGCCCGACGGCGCGGTACCTCGAGCCCGGCCAGCCCACCGGTATCACTGGCCTCCCGACACACAACGCCCCGCGCTCCATGCTCCTCTACCTCTACAACGCCACCCTCGAGAAGCTCAAGGCCGTGCCCGAGCACTCCGTTTACAGGCAGTCCGTCGAGGCTGTGACCAAGCAGCGTCTTGCGCACGTCGAGTCGGTTGTCCCCCCCGGGTACAAGGAGTGGGCGGCCAAGGCGAAGGAGATCCTCAAGCAGGAGCCCGAGAAGTTCAGGACGACCAACACGGCTACGAATGAGATGCTCGGGGCCGCGAAGGTGGAGAGGGATGGTCAGGTGTTTGTTGTGAGGCAGTTGCCGAGCGAGGTTGATATGCGGTATCAGCAGTGGGATGGGGAGGTGAATGACGGGCCGGAGTTGGAGGGCAGCAGGACGCAGGAGGAGATGGAGTGGCATGTCAAGACTCAGTTTGAGAGGGCTGAGGCGCTGGAGCAGAAGGAGGTTGAGTGGGATCCTGAGCCGCAGTTGACTACTGAGCAGTAGGTTTTCTTGGTGGGGTGGTAGGAGAGGATCGTGCTAATGTTCTGGCAGGATTGCTGAGCTGGAGAACAAGATTGGTGCCGGCTTGATTGAGGAGGTCATCCAGGTCGCTGAGGGCGAGCTCAAGCTGACGGATACCATGATTGAGTCCAAGGTGTAAGTTTGCTGGATTGGGAGAGAAATACAGCACGTCGCTAACAACGAGAACAGTTGGGAGCCCCTTGAGGAGCCTGCGGCCGAGGGCCAATGGGTTGCTTTTGAGAGAACTGCTTAAATAGAGTAGAGGGCGGTAGACAAAAGAAGAAGAGTGTAGCATCAAAGACTCTGTACATGATTAATTACAGATGCATGTCCCCCGTTGCTTATGCTGGCGGGAAGGATGTGATAGCTGGGCACGTTGAGTGGCGCGTAGAATGACGGAGTCGACATCTCCTGTATGATTTTGACTGCTTGAATATATAACTTTTGAGTTCTAGGCGATGCGCCTGTTGTTGTGCATTGCTGTTACCTATATCGAAGCCACCATCCGCAGTCTGTCTTAAGTCTAACCTTGTGTATCAGGGACC